GCGGAAATGGACAAATTGACTTGGACGCTGAAAGGGCAAATGGAAGAAGACTTTGTTGGATTATGGACTCTATTTTATAATTGGATAAGAGAGAAATATAAAGATATGAACTTTCTAATATCATAATATTCAGAAGCTTTTGTGAATTCTTAAACCTCTCAGTCTCTCTGTATAATTTGAAATGACAAGTAGAGGAAAGTTACATGCAGAAAATAAATACTTTAATTCTTTCCCCTTTCCCATCCTTGTGTATCCTAAAAACTTAAATCAATTTTTTTAAAGGGGTGTTAGAAAACTCAACAGAGGTGCCACTACCTTGAAGCTTTCTATAGCTCTTCAGGTGAGCACATGGTCAATGGCTGCCTTCTCAGTTAAGACTTCTGTCTGCTCTCATGGATCCAGCACCCAAGGGAAAAGAGACCTTCTCCTTGCTGCAAGAAGTTGTTATTATCTCTCTTTTCCCCACCCACTGACCCGGTCAGGCCAGGTCAGTGAAGCGCTTCCTGATGTCTCTAGCATTTTACTTCCTGTAGCCTCTCTAGTATCTAATTCCACCAAATCTCTGTTCCCTGCTTGGAGAAGGGGGGAGAAGTTGGCTTTATTAGCATTTGTTTGAAGGCAAATTATTGGCCTTTGTCAGAAGGTAAGCTGGAAAACAATTGGACTGCCTTCCCCCCCTTCCAGCCTGTTCTCTGCCCAGAGGGAGGAAAAAACCTTTTAAAACTCAAAGGGAAGGTTTTGCTCCTTTCAAAGCTCCAAAGAAGAAAAAAGGCATTTCTTCACAGCAGGCAAGAGACAAACAGAGATGTTTGGCCATTGCCTGCCGCTGCATGGCAACCCTGGACTTCCTTGATGGTGTCCCACCCAAGTACTAACCAGGGCCGACCCTGGTTTGCAGCCTGCAGGTGAGAAGGGCAGACAGGAATTGCACCATTGTTTGAGTCGAATGAGCAGATCCCGGAAGTTTGCTCGTATTTGCATATGCCTTTTGCCGGAATTCAGAACCAGGCTAACATAACTGAGAACTCTTGCATTTGAATCCTGTTCAGTTTAGAGTCAACTAATTGCTTTCCCCTGCAGGGATTAGAGATGCTTCCAGAATTCTCCACCGCTCCTCTGATTGGTTCACCGCAAGCAGCCTCAAAGGGTAGCCAATCAGCTTTGTGACGGTGCAGTTTCCTTTTCTTCTGCCTCAGACAGTAGGTGAAACCGGTTGTTCCTGCGGGTCATGAACAACCTGGTCGGGTAATTAAACAACACAGGGGGTAATACAACTTCCATAAGGCTGTGTGGAAATGCACAAGGTGTGAAATAGTCTCATAAATGCACACCAAACAAGAAGACTTTTTAATCTATTTATTTTTATGTATTTAGATATTCGTATCCCATCGGCAAACCTAGACAGTATTATAAAAAGTAGAGACATCACCCTGCCAACAAAAGTCCGCATGGTCAAAGCAATGGTATTCCCAGTAGTCATGTATGGCTTTGAGAGCTGGTTCATAAGGAAGACCGAGCGCAAAAGAAGAGATGCTTTTGAATTATGGTGCGGGAGAAGACTCTTGAGAGTCCCCTGGACTGCAAGGAGATCAAATAAGTCAATCCTAAAAGAAATCAACTCTGACTGTGCCCTGGAAGGCCAGAGACTGAAGCTGAAGCTCAAATACTTTGGCCACCAAATGAGAAGGGAGCACTCACTGGAGAAGACCCTGATGCTGGGAAAGACTGAAGGTCAAAGAAGAAGGGGACGGCAAAGGATGAGACGGTTGAGACAGTGTTATTGAGGCAACGGACATGAAATTAAGCGAACTCCGGAGCACGACGGAAGACAGGAGGGACTCGACTGTGCGACTGAACAACAAAAATCCCACTTTCCCCCCAATGGGGACTGAAAGCGGCTTACAGTGTTGTTCTCCTGTCACTATTTTAGCCTCACAACAACAACCCTGTGAGGATTAGACTGGGAGAGAGTGACTGGCCCGAGGTCAGGTAGCAAGCTTCTGGGGGCAGAGTGGGGATTCAAACCTGGCTGTCCTAGATCTTAGTCTGACACTCTGACCACTGCAACATACTGTACAGTACATACCACTCCGTGCGTGAAATACTGCCAGTTATACTGTGCTCTAGTGTAGCGTTCGGGTACTTGAAAAGTAACCCAATGAACAGTCCTGAACTGTTTACGACCAGCCAAACTGATTGATGAAGTCAGTTCCCTGTTTACCACTGGCGAACAGAACGTGATCTGAACTGGCTGCTGTTTGAGAACTCCCAGCTATTTATTTGGCCCTGTTCACACGACGGGTTTTGGGCCGGGAGAGGGATGGATCGGGGCCGCAGCAAACGGGCGCGATCCCACAGCAACATCTGGGAATCGTGCTGCGCCCGTCCCCCATCCATCCCTTCTGCCGAAAAAGCGCACCAAAAAAGAACCACCTAACCGGGTGGTTCAATCGAAAGGGCCGCGGCAAGTGCGGCCGTGGGATCGCCGGCTCATCCTTGCGCCGGCGCATCCCCGGCCCCCGGCCGAACTGCACATGCTCGAGCATGCGCAGTTCAGCAGCCTCCCCCTCCCACTCGTCTCTTCCTCTGATCGTGCCGGGGAGCAACGGCGCGCGGCTCACGGGATCCGTGGGATCCCGCCCGCAGCGTCTCTATTTTGGTGCGGCTCTAATTAGCCGCACTTTCACCGGCGTTTTCCCTGCCGTGTGGCAGGGGCCATTATTTATTTATCGCATTTATATCCCGCCCATCCCATAAATGGGCTCAGGGCGGGTTACAACATTTCAATAAATACAATAAAATTTAAAACACATTAAAACATATAAAATCAGTAGTCATGCTTGCCGTAGGGAGAATCCGGCCCATTGATGTAAATAGGTTATCAGTAGGTGAGAGATTGCAACCGGGGGGGGGGGGCATATGTGGACGCCTGCTGCCTCAGCCAAAGGTCTGGCGGAAGAGCTCCGTCTTGCAGGCCCTGCGGAACTGAGTGAGATCCCGCAGGGCCCAGATCTCAATAAGGGAGCCTGTTCCACCAGGTGGAGGCCAAGGCGGAAAAAGCCATGGCCCTGGTCGAGGCTAGGCGGACGTCCTTTGGGCCAGGGACCACCAGGAGATGTTGGTTCGCAGAGCGTAACGCTCTCCGAGGCGTATATGGGAAGAGGCGGTCCCTTAGGTATGTGGGTCCCAGGCCGTATAAGGCTTTGAAGGTGATTACTGACACCTTGAAGCCGATCCGGTACTAAACCGGCAACCAATGCAGCTGACAGAGCACATGCTGAACGTGGGCCCGCTCAGGCGTCCTGCTTAGGGTTGTCAACTCTGGGCTGGGCAATTCCTGGATATTTGGGGGTGGGGCCAGGGGGAGGTAATGGGAGGGGCCTCAGCATGGTACAATGCCACAGAGTCCACCCTCCAAAAGCAGCCGTTTTCTCCAGGGGAAACAGCTCATTTCCATAATATGATGATGACGGGAAGTCAAAAGCCGTCACGCCAGAGTTTCTCCCTCTCTCTTGCTCACAGGTGAGCATACCGTGCCATTCCAATGAGATGCACATGGCCTAGACAAGAGTGTAACGGAATGCGATGGGAAGGGAAGATAAAAGCCGGCATGCACAGAGGCATGAAGTGGCCGTGGGCAGACATCCAAAGCCTCTGCTTACAGCTGACTCATGGCCGTGCTGGAATTCCTGGACCTGCATGCAGATGTTTGGGAAAGGTTAATGCAGAGTGTGACGACACCGTGGGACTTGGTTCAGTCGTACCCCTGCGATAATTTACAGCGCTCAGCAAATGCAGGTCGAGTCATTTTCATCCCATGTGGCACCGGTGCGTGTTGCCCAGGGCAAGTCAGGATTGGATCCCTGCACCCCCTACTGCCCCTCCCCCATGCTGGAAGATTATAATGTACTCTGATGTTCCCTCTAAGCTGAGTCAGTGTGAGCTAGCTCACAGTCTTTTAGCCTCCGGCTCACATGTTTTTGTCTTCGCCCAGGAAGGAGGGCTCCAGAGCCAACTAATTGATGCAGCAGCCAAATCACTTGCTCACAACTTGAATGCCAGTCGCTCACAAAGTAGGATTTTTTGCTCACAAGACTCCACAGCTTAGAGGGAACATACTGGGAGATAGGCAATCAAGCCACCAGGTGAGAACTAACAAACATTATGGTTGGGCTGAACATAAGGGAAGGGGCCACAGCTCAGTGGTAGAACATCTCCATGGCTGATTTCGCACTAGAGCTTCCTCGCGGTTGACCCGCGGCTTCGCCCGATTTCCTCCGCAGTTTCGTGATCCTCAAAAAACAGGATCACGAAACTGCGGGGGAAATCGGGCGAAGCCGCGAGTCAAAATGCAGCCCCGCAGCTTCGGATGTGAAATTGACCAGTAGTGTCGGGGCAAACGACGGCACAACCACGAGGCAGCTCTAGTGTAGAAGGTCCCGGGTTCAATCCCCACCATCTCCCATTAAAAGGACCAGGCAGCAGGTGATGGGAAAGACCTCGGCCTGAGACCCTGGAGAGCTGTAAAGAGGGGCTGTGGCTCAGTGGAAGAGCCTCTGCTTGGCAGGCAGAAGGTCCCGGGTTCAATCCCCGGCATCTCCCATTAAAAGGACCAGGCAGCAGGTGATGGGAAAGACCTCGGCCTGAGACCCTGGAGAGCTGTAAAGAGGGGCTGTGGCTCAGTGGAAGAGCCTCTGCTTGGCAGGCAGAAGGTCCCGGGTTCAATCCCCGGCATCTCCCATTAAAAGGATCAGGCAGCAGGTGATGGGAAAGACCTCTGCCTGTGGCTCAGTGGCACAGCATCTGCTAGGCATGCCAAAGGTCCCAGGTCCAGTGACCTCTGGTATTTCTTGCTGAAAGGCTCAGGTGGCAGGTGATGTGAAAGGCCGGGCTAAGTAGACCACACTGACCTTGACGGACCAAGAGTTTGATTCAGCAGAAGGCAGCTTTGTGTGTATGTGTCCCAGGCAGACAGGCTTTCTTCTCGCTTCCCCCAACAGGTAGACAACCAGGAAGTTGCCTGTGACCATGACCTGGGCCCCATCCTCCTGGTCCGGCTGCATAAGGACCCTTATTCCTTCTTCCCCGAGAGCAGCTGGTTCTGCAATTCTGTCCAGGTGACGTCCCCGCAGGGGGAGTGCTACCACTTCCCTTGCTACCAGTGGATCGAGGGCTACTGCACCGTCTCCTTGAGAGAAGGCTCAGGTGAGTCAGTGGGCCAGAACTCGGGAGGCCCTGCCATTAGGGCTACCAGCTCCAGGTGGGGAAATTCCAGGAGGTTTGGACGAGGAGGTTTGGGGAGGGGTGGGGACCTCTGAGGGGCAAAATGCCTTAGGGTCCACCCTCCAAAGCAGCCATTTCCTCCAGGGGAACTGATCTCGGTCATCTGGAGATCAGTTGGAATTCTGGGAACTCTCCAGCCCTCCCTGGAGTTTGGCAACCTGATAGGGTTGCGCAGCCAGTGGGGGATGGGGTGGGCTTACTGGGAGCAGGGAATCCTGGCCCGTAGCAATGGGGGGGGGCTATGGGGGGCTCTGCCGCCTTCCTTAAAGGTATAAACAAAAAAACAAAAGGCTGCTACACAAAGACTCTGCAAAGTCTCTATATCTCTATATCGATACACAAAACTGACAAATAAGTATTATACAAAAAGTCCTTATTAAGAAGTCACGAAGACATAGAGGAGTTGTAGAGGAGCTGACAAAATTCCCCGGAGTACACTTCCGTTTCGTAATTACTTCTTCCGAGCCGTCAGGTAAACAAAGTCATGTCTTCTGTTCGTTCATAGATTGCAATCATTCAGAAAAATAATAAAACAGATCATAAATCCGTTATACATGAGAACATTCAAAAGCGGGTATATTGCTAAAGATAACGAAGCCTTCGTCAACTCTACCAACTCAGTTGGTAGTTCAGCAGTTTGAGACCCAAGTGCTGCATGACGGAGTGAGCTTCTGTCTCCGGCCCCAACTCCTGCCAACCTAGCAGTTCGAAAGCAAGAAATTGCAAGTAGATAAATAGGTACTGCTTCGGTGGGAACAGCGTTCCGTGCGCCTCGGCGTCTAGTCATGCTGGCCACATGACCACGGAAACGTCTTCAGACAGCGCCGACTCTTCGGCTTGGAAACGGAGATTAGCACGGCACCCCAGGAGTCGGATTCGACTGGCTTTCGAGCAAGGGAAACCTTCACCTTGACCTTTACATGTTCTCATTTGCCTCCCCCTTCCTATAAAGCCAAGACTCCGTCGGATGACACTCATTATCTGGAGCGGCGGCATCGTCGAGAGGAGCTGGTGATGAGACACAACAAATACGGGTGAGTTGGAGAGAACACCCTGACCGGGGTGGTCCAAGCTGGCTCCATCTCTGAAGCTTAGCAGGGTCAACCCTGGTTCGTACTCAGACAAGAGACCACCAAGGAAGTCCCGGGTTGCCACGCAGAGGCAGGCAATGGCCAACCACCAATGAACACCTCTTGCCTGGGCAACTGTCTGGGGCCGCCAAAGGTCAGGGAGAGAGACACCACCCAGAAGGTTGAAGATGCCGCCACCGCTGCTGGGTATGAGCCAAAGACTACCTGTAGCCACCCAGGAAGTCCCTTGCCTGGGAAATGAACACCTTTCTTCTTCCCATGTGTCTGAGCAGATGGAAGGAATACCTCCCCGGCGTTCCCTGCTGTGCTGACATCGACACGGCCCTGTCCCTGGAGTACAACCTCCAGTACTCGTTCCCGAAAGCCACCGCCTTCTTTGGGCGTGGGACAATGGCGTAAGTAGGCAGGGCGGTAAGGAAGCGTCTTGGGTCCGCCTGAAGGGCCTCCAGAGGGAAAGGCGTGTGAGAAGTGGGAAGGCTCTGAGCTCCACCTCTCCGCCGCCCTAATCATTTAAGGGTCTCTCACCCTCAGGATGTTCGAGGCCAAGGTGAAGGGCTTCTTGGACAAGCCGTTTTCCTGGGGGAAGCTGGAAGACATCCGCAAGGTCTTTTGGTTTTATCACACTCCTGTCACAGGTCAGTGATGGTCCAGGGTGTCATCTCCCCCCGCCCCCCCCCATCCCATCCCTCTCTCTAGCTGGGAAGGTCAGCTAGGGTTGCCAGTTTCAGGTTGGGAAATCCCTGGAGATTTGGGGGTGGAGCCGGGAGAGGGGGAGGAGAGGGGAAGAACTTCACTAGGGTATCATGCCCAGGGCCCCCCAAGCGGTGGCAGGCGTGGGGAAGGAGCCAGGTATCCCTTTAATTCAATTAGCCTAAGAAATTTAAGTGCCCCCCAAACTTTAAAAATCCTGGCTACGGCCCTGATTCCGGGGGTCAATTGTAATTCTGGGAGATCTGCAGGCCCCCACCTGGGGGTCATCAGCAATGTTCCCTCTAAGATGTGGAGTCCTGTGAGCAAAAATTCTACTTTGTGAGCTACAGGCATTCAAGTGGTGAGCAAGCGATTTGGCTGCTGCATAGATTAGCTTGCTCTGGAGCCCTCCTTCCTGAGCTAAGACAAAAATATGTGAGCCAGAGGCTAAAAAACTGTGAGCTAGCTCACACTAACTCGGCTTAGAGGGAACAGTGGTCATCAGCCCTATGGGGTGTGTGCATGGGGTTTGGTCAGCTCAGTCAAGCAACGTCCGGGATCCACACACCCTTTATTGTGCCCAGGGGTCATTTCGTAGAGAAAGAGGTGCAGGGGCTCATTAGCATAACTCATTAGCATAACTCATTTGCATATGCCGCACCCCCTTACCTCACTGGAAGTGTGGGAGCGGTGGGGACACCCACCGCTCAGGCTCCACTGGACTGTTTTGGATTGCTAGCTGTTGGGGGGGGGGCGGGGACGTGCAGATCTGTCCTCGCAGAGGAGGGAGAGCTTGTACCTGAAAAAACCCTGGTCTTAAAGGTGCCACTGGACTCTTTTGGACTGGGGGGCTGGGGGGGGCTTATTGCATGTGCCCGCCCCCTAGGCTCTTTACTGCTGGAGCTCTGCTCCTGTGCACTCCTGCAGGAAATGACCCCTCTGACTGAGGGCTGCTGGGAGCAGGAGGTGGGGCTTGCTGCATGTGCCCGCCCCCTGGGCTCTTTACTGCCGGAGCTCCGCTCCCGTGCGCTCCTGCAGGAAATGACCCCTGATTGTGCCCTACACCAAGCACACACCAGGACTCTCAGCTTTCTGTAAGAAACACATGCTTAGTCAGTATTGTCTTCTCCATGACACCCTCACCTGTCCCTCACCTTCTTGATGAGGCTGATATGATTCCATAAAGTCCAAGAGTTCAAAGATCCTTCCTTCCTTCCTTCCTTCCTTCCTTCCTTCCTTCCTTCCTTCCTTCCTTCCTTCCTTCCTTCCTTCCTTCCCTCTCTCTGTCTCCAGAGTTTGTGTTCAACCACTGGAAAGAGGACGAGTTCTTCGGCTACCAGTTCTTAAACGGGATCAACCCAGGGATGATCCGGAAGTGCACCAGGATCCCAGACAATTTCCCTGTGACCCAGGAAATGGTGGCAGGATCTCTGGGGAAATACACCACCCTCCAAGAAGAGCTGAAGGTACCTGATCACCCTCCCTGGCCAGTCACATTCTTGAATCTCAGGGCCACCATGCGGGGATCCTCATGCACTGAGTGATACAAACAGAGAGAAGTTTCAAGGTCTGAACTGGGTATGGGGGGAGGGAAGCACTGAATGGAAAGGCACACAAGCAGAGCGTATTGGAAACAAATGATTCTGACCGGCATTCCCCAAGAGCCAGCGTGGTATTGTGGCTATGCCCTCTAGGCATAAAATATTGCTTAATGACAGGACCGGGAAACTTACCAGGGTTGTGTTAATTGTTGCTAAATTGGGGGCAAACAGGTCAGGAGGAAGCCGGGACTAGATCAAATCAAGGTGAAGTGACATGTGTTCTTGGGAAACCATTTGTCCTTTATTGTGCATCTTCTTAGGTGAGGAGAGGGCAGTTAGCCAGTCGCCTGATTTTTCACCTTCCGAAATTTTCCCAGGCTTGTCTCCGGTGTGACTCTTGCTGGCATCCACTTTGTTCAGGCCAGTCAGTGTATGATGTTTGGAGGTGACATTTTTTATGAAGGGCGTTCTCCTCTCTCTGATGCTAACTACACTTCTGCAGGAGGAGGGGTCTGACTGCTAACAATTAGAATGTCAGAGTAGCATCTAGGAGAACCAGGTTTGAATCCCCACTCTGCCATAGGGTGTTTGCTAGGTGACCTTGGGCCATTCACACACTCTTGGCCTTACCTACCTCGCAAGGTTGTTGTTGTCAGGATAGAATGAGTTCCCACTGGGGAGAAGTGTGGGGTATAAGTGAAACAAAGAAATAAATAAGACAGCCCCCCCTCCAAGCTCCTCTTCGCCTTCCGCCACGTTACAGCTGGCTCCCCCGGACTTTCTGATTCAAAAACTGGTAAGTGCTTTCTCCTTTCCTACCCACAACTGGTCCCAGACCCCATTCCAAAAGGCAGATTTCCCATGCAAGAGAATACAGTATCTACACAGGGCCATGTTAAAGGAACAGAAGAAGAAGAAGAAGAAGAAGAAGAAGAAGAAGAAGAAGAAGAAGAAGAAGAAGAAGAAGAAGAAGAAGAAGAAGAAGAAGAAGAAGAGGAGGAGGAGGAGGAGGAGGAGGAAGAAGAGGAGGAGGAGGAGGAAGAGGAAGAAGAAGAGGAAGAAGAAGAAGAAGCAGAACTGTCCTTGAGAGAACAGCTCTGACAGAACTATGGCTTGCCCAAGGTCACCCAGCAGCTGCAAGTGGAGGAGTGGGGAATCAAACCCGGTTCTCCCAGATTAGAGTCCGCACACTTAACCACGACACCAAACTGGCTCGAAATATCTTGTCGGGTGCTCATTACAACCATTTACAACCAGGCCCACTCAGTCGTTGTCTGATACTCTAAGCCAGGGGTATCTAACTCATTTGTTATGAGGGCTGGATCTGACATAAATGAGACCTTGTTGGGCTGGGCCATGTGTGTCATAAAATGTAATGCCAGGTGCCGGAGATATAAACTTTATAAAGGACACAAACACAAAGGGATTTTTTTAAACTTAAAATAAAAACATGTTTAAAACATTAGCACTCTTGCAATATTTTGTTTATTTAACAGTGTCTGATAACTGACACCTCTTGCTCTGTGTTATTGCATCAAAATGTCTGTGCTGTTGCAATCTCGAATGTACTGTTCAGGTGTGTCTCCGTAAGCTGCAAACCTACGATGACGCAGCAGCAGCAACAGCAGAACTGGAAGCAGAAGCAGAAGACAGACAGTTCCACTGTGGGCCTGATAGGAGCCCTTGGGGGGGGGCCTGATCCGGCCCCCGGGCCCCATGTTCGACATCCCTGCTCTAAGCGTTTCCCTAAGTCTGATACTCTAAGCTCCCTCTGGCCGGCAGATTCTTTCCTTTGCACAGTGCGGTAACCATTTCTCACCTCTGCAGGCCCAAGAGGGCTCATCCTGACCCACTCTTCCCTCCCCTATCCCCCCTTGTCTTGCAGAAGGGAACCATTTTCCTCACTGACTATAAGATCCTAGAGGGCGTCCCCACCATCCAGCTGAACGGGAAGCGGCAGTACATCGCGGCTCCTCTGTGCCTGCTGCACCAGAAACCCACTGGAGAAGTCGTCCCTCTCGCCATCCAGGTAGACGCAAAGAGCAAAACATGGAGAGGTCTATCAGTGGCCGCTAGCCGTGGTGGACCTCCACGTTCACAGGCAGTCAACCTCTGAATCCCGGCGCCAGGAGGCAGCACCAGGGGAAGGCCTCAGCCTCTATGCATTGATGGGGTCTGAACTGGCAGAGACTGAGCAAGAGAGAGATCTTGGAGTTGTAGTGGATAACTCACTGAAAATGTCGAGACAGTGTGTGACTGCAATAAAGAAGGCCAATGCTATGCTGGGGATTATTAGGAAGGGTATTGAAAACAGATCAGCCAATATAATAATGCCCCTATATAAATCAATGGTAAGACCTCATTTGGAATACTGTGTGCAGTTCTGGGCACCACACCTTAAAAAAGATATTATAGCTTTGGAAAAAGTGCAGAAAAGGGCAACTCGAATGATAAAAGGGTTGGAACACTTTCCCTATGAGGAAAGGTTAAAGCGCTTAGGGCTCTTTAGCTTGGAGAAAAGACGACTGAGGGGTGACATGATCGAGGTTTATAAGATTATGCATGGGAAAGAGCAGGTAAAGAAAGAGGTACTTTTCTCCCTTTCTCACAATACAAGAACTCGTGGGCACTCCATGAAACTGCAGAGCGGTCGGGTTAGAACGGATAAAAGGAAGTACTTCTTCACCCAAAGAGTGATTAACACATGGAATTCACTGCCACAGGAAGTGGTGGCGGCTACAAGCATGGACGGCTTCAAAAGGGAATTAGATAAGCATATGGAGCAGAGGTCCATCAGTGGCTATTAGCCACAAGGTATAGCTAGGGGCTCTGGGGCAAGTGATGCTCTGTCTTCTTGGTGCTTGGGGGGGGTCAACAGTGGGAGGGCTTCTAATGTCCTGGCCCCACTGCTGGACCTCCTGATGGCACTGGTATTTCTGGCCACTGTGTGACACAGAGTGTTGGACTGGATGGGCCTTTGGCCTGATCCAACATTGGCGTCTCTTATGTTCTTATGTTCTTATGTTGTTGGCCACTGTGTGAGACAGGATGCTGGACTAGGTGGACCACTGGTCTGATCCAGCAGGGCTCTTCTTAAGTCCTCATGAAGGTCTCAGCCTCTATGCCTTGCTGTTGGACCTCCAGAGGAACTGTTCGAGACAGGGTGCTGGATTAGACGGACCGCTGGTCTGATCCAGCGGAGCTCTTCTGATGTTCTTAGCATTAGGGAAGGCCTCAGGCTCTATGCCCTGTTGTTGGCCCTCCAGAGGAACTGGGTGGCCACTGTGTGAGACAGGAGGCTGGACTGGATAGACCACTGGTCTGACCCAGCAGGGCTCTTCTGATGTTCTTAATGTTAGGGGAAGGCCTCGGCCTCTCTGCCCTGTTGCTGGCCCTCCAGAGGACCTGGTTGGCCAGTGTGTGAAAGGAGGCTGGACTAGAGGGACCCTCACTGGTCTGATCCAGCAGGGCTCTACTTACATTCTTAACATTAGGGAAAGGTCTGGGCATCTCTGCCCTGTTGCTGGCCCTCCAGAGGACCTGGTTGGCCACTGTGTGAAACAGGATGCTAAACCTGATGGACCACCAGTCTGACCCAGCAGGGCTCTTTTGATGTTCTTAATGTTAGGGGAAGGCCTCGGCCTCTATGCCCTGTTGCTGGCCCTCCAGAGGACCTGGTTGGCCCCTGTGTGAGACAGGATGTGGGACTAGATGGACCACCAGTCTGATCCAGCAGGGCTCTTCTTATATTCTAATGGACATCTTAGCGACATCCAAAGTGTGTGTGTGTGAGTTTACTCCTCAGGTGAAATATCTGAAGAATTTCAAGGGGTGCCAAAAGAAGTACGTTAACACCATGAACATTTCTCGGACACAATTCTCTAGTCGACGGTCCAGTGGGCAAGCACGCACGAAAATGGCTACTACTTCTGGTCACAAAAGATGGCCCCCCATTAACCGTTTTGTGTCCTCCTCCCACACACACAGCTCAGCCAGCACCCGGGCCCCCATAGTCCCGTTTTCTTGCCCACCGATGAAGAATGGATCTGGACGCTAGCCAAGACCTGGGTCCGCAACTCCGAATTCCACGCCCACGAAGTGATCGCCCACCTCCTCTGTAGCCACCTCATGTCAGAAGTCTTCGCGGTGGCGACTCTGAGGCAGCTGCCAATGTGCCACCCACTGTACAAGGTAAGCGTTGGGGGGGGCGGTGAAGATCGGGGGGGCGGAGAAATAGGCTTGAGCACGAGGCAGAGGGCTATGTTTTTGTTCGGTCCGTGACCTGGCTTCCACAGAACACAAATACTGGCGGGAACAAAAGAAAGAGAGGTCGTGAATGGGTTTCTTACTCAACCCAGAAATCGTAACAAACACAAAGGAGAAGCAAGGGGTGGGGGCGGGTAGATGAACACACAGGAAGCTGCCATCACAGTCAGTATTGCCTACTCAGACTGGCAGCGGTCCATCAAGCCAGTATTGCCTACTCAGACTGGCAGTGGCTCTCTAGAGTCTCAGGCGGAGGTCTTTAACATCACCTACTGCTCGATCCTTTGAAATGGAGATGCTGGAGAATCAATGCTCCCTCTAAGCTGTGGGGTCCTGTGAGCAAAAACCCTACTTTGTGAGCTCCTGGCATTAAAGTTGTGAGCAAGCAATCTGGCTACTGCATAAATTAGTTTGCTCTGGAGCCCGCCTTCCTGGGCTAAGACAAAAATGTGTGAGCTGGAGGCTAAAAAACGGTGAGCCAGCTCACATTAACTCAGCTTAGAGGGAACACTGGTGGCGTCCAATGCTCCCTCTAAGCTGTGGAGTCCTATGAGCAAAAATCCTACTTTGTGAGCTCCTGGCATTAAAGTTGTGAGCAAGCCATGTGGCTACTGCATAAATTAATTTGCTCTGGAGCCATCCTTCCTGGGCTAAGGCAAAAATGTGTGAGCTGGAGGCTAAAAAACGGTGAGCCAGCTCACACTCACTCAGCTTAGAGGGAAGACTGGTGGGGTCCAATGCTCCCTCTAAGCTGTGGAGTCCTATGAGCAAAAATCCTACTTTGTGAGCTCCTGGCATTAAAGTTGTGAGCAAGCAGTTTGGCTACTGCATAAATTAATTTGCTCTGGAGCCATCCTTCCTGGGCTAAGGCAAAAATGTGTGAGCTGGAGGCTAAAAAACGGTGAGCCAGCTCACACTCACTCAGCTTAGAGGGAACACTGGTGGCGTCCAATGCTCCCTCTAAGCTGTGGAGTCCTATGAGCAAAAATCCTACTTCGAGAGCTCCTGGCATTAAAGTTGTGAGCAAGCAGTTTGGCTACTGCATAAATTAATTTGCTCTGGAGCCATCCTTCCTGGGCTAAGACAAAAATGTGTGAGCTGGAGGCTAAAAAACGGTGAGCCAGCTCACACTAACTCAGCTTAGAGGGAACACTGCCGGGGATTGAACCCGGGTCCTTCTGCGTGCCAAGCAGATGCTCTGCCACTGAGTCCTCAAAAACTGTGTTCCGCTAATAGGCGTATTTATCTCTTGGGAAATGGAATGTGGCGAGGCAACGCACCTGCCGGCAGGCGCATCCCGTTTTGAGCATTCCTAGATGTTCCTTAACATGTGTGGCCAGCAGGTGGTCTCCGTTCTGCGGGTGGTCGGCAGATGTGTCAGATTCCAGGGATGGGCAGGTGTGCCCAAGCTGTGAGCCTGTCCAGATGCTCGCATGGCTGCTTAGGTGCTGAAGTGACGCCCGAGGCAGATGTCTGCAGCTGTGAGCAGGCCCAGATATGCCCAATGGAAGAAACAGCCTTCCCAGCTGGTTTTGTTCCACTTGCCTCTTGAACGCCCTCTGCTGTTCCTTGAACTCAGAGGAAAGAAATCCTAATGCAATGCAACTCTTAGGATGTGTCTGCCTTGGCACACCTCCCTTAAAAAGATATGGATTGTGGAAGGAAGGAAGGAAGGAAGGAAGGAAGGAAGGAAGGAAGGAAGGAAGGAAGGAAGGAAGGAAGGAAGGAAGGAAAGAACCAGCATTATATATATATTTTTTAAAAGTATTTAAATTAGAAAATAACAACAAAAGCAACCACACACATTGAGATACCAAAATTAGGAATAAACAATAGGTTATTCAAACAGATAATATAATGTTAACAGCTAGTGCCCACGTTTCAAGCAAAATAAGAAATGGAATCATCCTTAGTTCCAGTGTAATATAACCCTTTAATGTTTTCCTAACTTCTAAACATTATCGTTGATTTGTACTAAGTTTTTATAAGAGGCAATCGTCTAGGAGAGACAATCCATTAAATACAGCTGAGAACTGTGTTCTACAAAAACAACTCAGCATTATAATACTACTTAGTGGCATTTGAAATCTTTATTCAAGGAAGTCTACATAGCCCCTAGGCTTTTAGACAAATAATATAGATATGATTGAAATATTTTTATCCTGTTTCTGGGTTGCAAGATATCCTCTCCCCAAAGTAGATCGCCTCAATAAAGCTACCTTAAAATATATCAAGGCCTCGGTCACATGGAGATTTTGCCACGCAAAAGGCACGAATGAGGGGCGGATTTTCGGGGCGCGATCGCACTGCAACATCTGGGAAGCATAGCGCACCTGTGGCCAACCCGTGGCGTCCCACCGAAGATGTGGAGTTTAAAAGTACCAAGGAAAGTGCACTAGTATCTGGAAGACGCACGGCGCAGGCAGGCGTCTGATCGCGGGAGCGCTAGTATCCCATGGCATCCGGCGCCCGTCCACGTCCCGTCGCAAACCAGATGTTTTTCATAAGCGCATGCGCACAAACAGGAAACTGAAAGCAGTGCTACTCCGCGGAACTGCGCATGCGCACAAACGCGAAACGCCTGTGTGATCACGCCACGCCGCTTCTTTGCCATGCTGCAGCATCGCCGTGTGATCACCAGCTAACAGCCTAAGCACAGAGACTCAAGGGACTGTGTGATCGGGCTACCGCGCTTTATTTTGCTCCAGGGCGAACGGCCATGCCTCCCCCCGCGTTATCTGGCCCGTGTGACCGGAGCCATACAGCAAGCTGGCAACACTATTTGAGAACAAGGGAGTGGGGCACTGGGGCCAGGCTGTGTGTGACCTTGGAGACCCAGGAGCAGAAAGTCAGACAGGTAAGTGAACTACAGTCCTGAATTTTGCCTCTCCTTCCTGTAGCTATGTTTCACGGCCAGACAGCACGTCATGGATTCCATGGTCACCTGTTAAAAGGACCCAAAGCCAAGTCAATTAGAAAGAAGCCATCTCAAATGGTTAAACCCCCCCACACACAAAAAAACCCAGGGCAGATATGAAAAGCAAACCCTCAGCCATGACCCTACTAGCTATACCCTTTCTGTAACTTGGATACCATCGTCTGTTTTTTTCCCTTCCTTTTACCAGCTCCTGATTCCTCACCTCCGGTATTCCATCCACATCAACGTGTTGGCTAGAACCTACCTTACCAACCAAGGAGGCATCTTCGACAGGGTAAGTGCGGATCTTTGAGGAAGGCTCGGAGTCGTCCTGGGCATGCTGCCCGCACCAAGCCCCTTTTGGCTCACCCATGCGTGGACATTCCTTGACTTCTCAAGGACCTGAGATATGGTGAGCTGACAGTTGGCTGTGTGAACTGCCCAGAGCAATGATATGAAAGGTCTCTCTGGCTGTCATATCTGTGACCAGCACCGTTCAGAGGATTAGAGGTTCTAAATCCTGAGAATCGGGGTGGGGGAGTTGGGGAGGCAGGCGAGGTGCCACTTGGGAGTCGTAGCAGCATGCCTGTCTTAGTTAGGCATCTTGTGAGTATCCTCTTGACTACCAGAAAGAGAAGCAGTGTCTGGAGGTCTAACAGGGTTGCCAGCCTCCAGGTGGGGCCTGGAGATTACACCAGATGACAGAGGTTCCACCCCCAAATCTTCAGGAATTTTGCTACCTGGAGCTGGTAACCCTGAGGCCTGTGGGGGGCCCCTCTGCTTCTATTTGGGATAGAAGCATTCACACATGATTGAGAGCCAGTGTGGTGTAGTGGACAGTGTGGAAGACTAGGGCCCTGAGAGACCCGGGTTTGAATCCCCTCTTCCGCCACTGAAGCTCACTGAGTGATCTTGGACCCATCACAGTCTGGCCTACCTCCCAGGGCTGTTGTTGTGGGGGGAATGAAGGAGCGAAGAAGGAGGTTCTAAAGGAAGCTTTGATTCCGAACTGGGGGGGAAAGTGCAATATGAAAAATTTGCAGATGTGCGCATGTGCTAGACGTCGTTTCAAGCGGTAACAGTCCTCAGGTGCAGGGCAGGCATGTCTGAACAAGCACCTTAACGAGAAAATTATGTTGGTCCTCGGACAAATGCCAGCCACTGGAATGTCGTTGGGCCTGTGCACCGATTTCTAATGTGTGCAAGAGCTTTTCAGGGCCGAGCCCTCCCCTCTGGTCCCTCTGACTGTCCTGGACCCAGTGCTCCCTCTAAGCTGAGTTGGTGTGAGCTAGCTCACGGTTTTTTAGCCTCCGGCTCACAGATTTTTGTCTCCGCTCAGGAAGGATGGGGCTCCAGAGCAAACTGATTTCTGCAGCAGCCATATGGCTCGCTCACAACTTCAATGCCGGTAGTTCTCAAAGTAGAATCTTTGCTCACAAGACTTCATGGCTTAGAGGGAGGGTGGCCTGGATAAGAATGGGAGTGGAGCCCCTGACAGCACGCGAGGAAGTGCATCACCTGCCCGCATTTGCCATGCCTTTTCTTCGCACTACCTGCTCAACCTGTACAGTGTCCCCAGCATACCCTACCCCTCGAGGAGGAGAGGGGACCCTGAGCTTCCGTAGTCTAGGTAAAGGTCTCCCTTGCTCGAAAGCCAGTCGAGTCCGACTCGAGGGTTGCGGTGCTCATCTCCGTTTCCAAGCCGAAGAGCCAGCGCTGTCCAAAGACGTTTCCGTGGTCACGTGGCTGGCATGACTAAACACCAAGCGCACTGAACGCTGTTCCCTCCCCACCGAAGTGGTCCCTATTTATCTACTTGCAATTTCTTGCTTTCGAACTGCAAGGTTGGCAGGAGCTGGAACTAGAGACGGGAGCTCACTCCGTCATGCGGCACACTCGGGTCTCGAACTGCTGAACTACCGGCCTTCCACAGCCTGCAGTTCAGCATCTTAACCACTTGAGCCACCGCAGGTCCTACCCTCGTCTAGGGAACGGGTAATGTGAAAGAAAATCGACGTTTTCCCTCCGCAGGCCATCGCGACTGGGCGCCAGGGGTTAGCGGTGCTTCTCAAAAAGGCCCTGGATAATTTGACCTACACGGATCTTTGTCTCCCAGACAACATCGAGGCCCGAGGTGTCACCTTGCTCCAGAACTATTACTACCGAGATGATGGGCTGAAGATCTGGGATGCCATCGAGAGGTACAGGAAACGGGGTTTGTGGGGGATGTTGAGGCACCCAGCTAAGATCATGTCACCCCTCAGCCATCGCCTCTCCAGGCTAAAGAACCCCAAGCGCTTTAGCCTTTCTTCATAGGGAAAGTGTTCCAGCCCTTTAATTCCTTTCATTTAATTTAAGGGTATTCCTTTAATTCGATTAGCCAGTGCCCCCTGAGAAATTTAAGTGCCCCCCGACTTAAAAAACCCTGGCTACGGGCCTGGAATGGGTTAGACACGGGATCACTTCCTCAGTCGTTGGGGCTAACCTCGCTTCTCTCTCCCGGCAGCTTCGTCGCCGGCATTGTGGAGCTCTACTATAAAAACAATCTAGCCGTCCAGAGGGACTACGAGTTGCAGGCCTGGGTCTGTGATATCTTCTCCAAGGGCTTCCTGGCCAAGCGGTCCTCAGGTACTCCACAAATTGCTGCACGTGTACTTGATAGGGCTGCCAGCTCCAGGTCTGGACATTCCTGGAGATCTGGGGAGGGACCTCCGCGGGGTACAATGCCGTAGAGTCCGGCCTCCAAACCAGCCACTTTCTCCAGGGGAACTGGTCTCCATGGCCTGGAGAGGACTTGAATTCTGGCAAATCTCCAGGTCCTGCCTGGAGGTTGGCAAGCCTGCACTTGGTCTCACCTTCCTCTTCCTCTTTTCCTGCCACTGTCCACATTTCGTAGCATATACTGTCTTTTCCAGTGACTCTTGTCTTCTCAAAAAGGGAACAAAACACGATAGCCTCAGATTAGTCATTTTAGCTTTTAGGAACAGTCAGGGGTCATTTCCTGCAGGAGCGCACAGGAGCGGAGCTCCGGCAGTAACGAGCCCAGGGGGCGGGGAACATGCAACAAGCCCCACCCCCTGCTCCCAGCAGCCCTCAGTCAGAGCAAGAAGCAGCCAGGTACGTTGCAGAGCCTCCCCCCCGCCCCCCCTCCAAGACAGTCCAGTGGCACCTTCAACACCAAGTTTTATTCAGGTACAAGCTCTCCCTCCTCTGCGAGGACAAATCTGCACGTTTCCACCCCCCCAACAGCTAGCCATCCAAAACATTCCAGTGGAGCCTGAGTGGTGGGTGTTGCCTTCTGACACACTTCCGGTCATGTCAGGGGGCGTGGCATATCCAAATAAGTTATGCTAATGAGTTATGCTAATGAGCTCCTGCACCTCTTTTTCTATGAAATGATCCCTGGGAACAGTCCAGGATATCTAGAGCAGGGAGCCAGAATTTGTTGCCGAAACCACCAGTGTAAATAACCCACAGTTTATCATCCCGTCTGAAAGGGTAGAGATATGAGAATTGGGGGGGGGAGTCCCCAGAGAAAGCAAGGAAATGCGCACGAGATTGGGCTGGAGAAACGTTCAACCCGGGTGCGCCTCCATTCCCTGTCACCACATTGTGGCATCCCTTGGCTCGCCCTCAATGCTCGACGTGACTGAGGATGTCTCTTCTTCCCCTATAGGTATCCCTTCCTCCATCCGCTCCGTCCCGGAGCTCACCAAGTTCTTGACTATGGTCGTCTTCACCTGCTCAGCCCAACATGCAGCGGTCAACAGTGGACAGGTGGGTGAGGGGGGCTCTCGGGGTTTCCAACTGTGAGCTGGGGAATTCCTGGAGGCTTTAGGGGCAGAATCTGGGGAGGGTGGGATTAGGGGAGGGGAGAAACCTCACTAGGTTCTGGTACCAAAGAGTGTGCTCTCCAACGCAGCCATTTTCTCCAGAGGAATTGATCTATGCTGTCTAGAGATCAGTTGGAATTCCAGGAGATCTCCAGACCCCATAGGGAGGTTGGGAAGCCTCCTCTCTGTCCACGTCTGAAGTGGATCTCCAGGGCATGCTGACTATGGGATACATACATTAGCTTTTTTTGGAGAGTCACAAGACTTTGTATAGCGATAGGTGGTGGGAAATTGGAGCAGAGATCCATCAGTGGCTATTAGCCCCAAGGTATCGATAGGAACAGGAGCTGCGGTGGCTCAAGTGGTTAAGACGCTGAACTGCAGGCTGTGGAAGGTCCGTAGTTCAGCAGTTCGAGACCCGAGTGTGCCGCGTGACGGAGTGAGCTCCCGTCTCACTAGTTCCAGCTCCTGCCAACCTAGCCGTTTGAAAGCAAGAAATTGCAAGTAGATAAATAGGTACCACTTCGGTGGGAAGGGAACAGCGTTCCGTGCACAGCCTTGGTGTTCAGTCATGCCGGGCACGTGACCACGGAAACGTCTTCGGACAGCGCTGGCTCTTCGGCTATGAAACGGAGATGAGCACCACAACCCTAGAGTTGGACTCATCCAACATTGGCTTCTCTAATGTTCTTATGAAATTAAGTCCTCGTCTCCCAAGCAAGTAGCTGCGTTGAGGCTTTTGGGGCAGGCATAGACTTGGTAGAAATATGGGAGCCCTTTGCTGGCAGTCAACAATCACGCTTCGCCTTTGCAAGGGTGCCCGTGCATTATCTGCCTGTTGCACTTACAACTTGCAACATCCCTGCAAGGTAGGCCACTGGTGTTCTTGAAGATTGGGTGGCTGAGGCTAAAGGGCTCGCCTAAGGCCACGGAATGAACCCATGACAGGAGGTAAAGTTGGAGCCGGACCGACCTTATGTTCTACCAGTTATCTGTTGGGTGGAGGGACCAGTTCAGCTCACTGGGGGGAGGGGGGGTGGCTTTGAGGCAAAGGTGGGTAGCTGATATTGTTGACTGTGTCACAACTCTCATGGAGATTTTGGCATGTGGTGAGGCTAAGAGATTTGAGGGCCTATGGGGAAAAACGGAAACGTTTGTGGGGAAAGGGTTTTTTTCTTAGTTTTCTCCAAAGCCTTTGTCCTCCACTGTTTTTTCCCAAACAGAAATGTCAGCTGCAACTTGACGGCACTTTACACACAGAGAGACGAGGTGTACACTGAATTCGTGATGCTGGAATTCAAATGCATATTTTTTTACATATTTTCCAGCAACGCCCGGCCATCATGCTATATCGAGAGCCAGTTTGGTGTCATGGTTAAGTGCGCGGACTCTAATCTGGGAGAACCGGGTTTGATTCCCCACTCCTCCACTTGCACCTGGCTGGATGACCTTGGGCAAGCCGTAGTTCTGATAAGAGCTGTTCTTGAAAAAGAGCCGTTTCTGTCAAGAGCTCTCTCAGTCCCACCTACATCGCAGGGTGTCTGTTGCGGGGAGGGGAGGGAAAGGAATTTGTAAACTTCTCTGAGACACCTTTGGGTAGTGAAGGGCGGGGTATCAATCCAATCTCTTCTTGTTCTTCTATATTGGCAAGGAATCCTGGGGTTAATTAACGACATAACTACATAACTAGATATTAATTACAGATGGATCCTAAGGCTGCACTTTTTGGTTCTCTGAGGAACAGAGCAGGGGAAATAAACCTAAAAAAAGAAAAGAAAAAGGTTTTGAACTTAATAACAGCTGCTAGCCTAAGTCTATCGGCATACTGGAGGAAGATACTATCACCCCCTACAGCAGATTCCTTCAAAAGATACAAATCTTGTTTCCCAGACTGGAAGACTGAGTACCAGATAGGACTCTCATAAACACTGGAAAGTGGGCATTTCCCGTTATGTATTGGAGTAGAACCTTTATTCTCTCAATTGCCGTAAGATTATCTGACTTTCACGAGCTGACTTCTTACATAACACGTGGAGAACCCAGCTTTCCTGGGTCTATGCTCCACCTTTCTCATAGAATCATAGAATGTTAGAGTTGGAAGGGACCTTGCAGGTCATCTAGTCCAACCCCCTGCACTCTGCAGGAGCATAGATGAAAGATAGCCCTACTTACCTACAACATACCCGAAAGATCGTCGTCCTTTATTTTATTTTTATTCCCATCTTATTTATTTAGAACATTTATTATCCGCCTTTCTTCCTTGAGGAGCTCAAGGCAGCTTACACGATAAAATAAAATAACATGAAATAAAGTGCATAAAACACATAAAACCAGAATACTTTAAAATCGCAATTTTTAAAGTCACAAGTTAGGACTGCTTTAATCAAGTGCCGGTCTTATAATAAAATCATCTTCCGCCTCCTCCTAAGGATTGAAAGTGAGAAGATCGGGCATAGCTCCCTGGGGAGGTTTTTCCATAACGGTGGGGCTGCCGCTGAAAAGGCCCTGTTTCGCGCATCCACCAAACCATTTGAAATGCTGAGTCCCCAGGAGGGCTGCTGCGTCCGTCACACCTTGTTTTGTGCTGTCTCTCTCTGCTTTCCCTTCTTGGGGTCCTGCAGTTTGAACTGGGGGCCTTCATGCCCAACTTGCCGTCTTCAATGAGGAAGCCCCCGCCCCAGATCAAAGCCCCAATAACGTTGGAGGAGTTCCTGGATGTCATCCCCGAGATGAACACCACCAGCCAGGTCCTCTCCGTCCTCTGGGTCTTGCGCAACGAGGACTTCGACATGGTGAGTTGTCTGGACAACACTGGGAAGGGGGCAGGGTTGCCAGCCAATTCCTGATGCCTTGTGGGAGGTGGGGGGCCAGGGACATGGGGGGGGGGACATTGGCATTTCACACAATGTGACGTCACTTCTGGGGGAAACTGGAAGTGGTGTCATGGCACTCTAGGAATCGCCAGAAACTCTATGGTAAAACCATCGTAGCAGGAGACCTGGCAACCCTGGAAAGGGGAAGCCCTCTGGGAGTGGCAAGAGGAGGAACAAGGTCATCTCCCATGATTCCTGGTGCATTATTGCAATAACTGGAGATTTGGCTGCTCGGTGAGAATCAAAGCATGGAAGTCTACCTTCTTCATCCCTCCACAGCGGGATCAGGAGCAGCAGCATAGTCCCTCCTGTCGCCGAGCCCTCCAAAAAGCTTGGCCACCCCCCAGTTTTCACCTTCTCACCCACAGCTACTCTGCCTACTTAACATCTCTTCCTTCCTCAGCGCCTTTGAGGCACATGACCTCTCCTATCTCTAGGCCCGGGAAGTTAGTCTCTCCAGCACACTGGCCTCCTAACACTTCTTTCACAGCAGTCACACCTTTTTTTTTTGCCTTGGAAACCAAACATCGTTGAAGTGCTTGTAAACATTCTGTGACATCACAGCAACTCAGCCAGTGGCAGGCCGGTGTTTCGTAAACTAGTAACAGATCATCTTTAGATACACAGGGAGCGTGGAGAAGGGAATATATCACAGCCTGTATAAAGCCTAGCAGCCCAGATACCCTGGCTTAACTCACGCTCATCGGAGCTTGGAAATGCAGTACGGTCGGCCGTGGTCGGTATTTGGCTGGGAGACAACCAAGGAAGACTGGGGTTGCTTCTCAGAGGGAGGCAATTGTAAACTGTTGGAAAAATAGGCAAAGATATTTAAATACTTGGAGGTTTGCAATGGATCTTTGCTTCACTGGAGAGGAGGCATTTCTTTCTGTTTAAAAATCTTTATTTCTAAAGGGAAGGGTTCACAGGAAAAGCTACAAAGTAGCGAAGGCTACATTTCTGCAGAGCTACAAACATACCGACCACACGGTCTCTCAACAACAACTGTAGTGGAGATTCTCCTTCTCCTTGACCCCTAGAAGGAAGTCACCTGAGCACAGTAACCAATGATTGCTAGTAAAGAGACTTATATTTCCCGGGCTTTGTTTTCATTGGCTCTGAGCCAGGTCAGTCGAAACAATCGTATACGAGCAGAGGTCATTTCGGGGGGGATCGCGGGGGATCACAGTTCCCCCAGGTGAGGTACGGGGGGCGGGGCACATCATGAAGCCCCACCCCCTGCTTCCGGCCACCCCGCTTCCGGCCCTCATTCAGCCAGGAGGAGGCAGGAGAAGAGGGAGGGTAAGTTGCTTCCTCCCTGCCTCTCCCCACCCCTGCCTGCCTGGGGCCAGGGAGGGCCTTCGCGGGGCTTCCTTGCACTCCCGCCCAGGGCCGGCTCACCCACTAGGCGAACTAGGCATTCGCCTAGAGCGCCGGACCCTGAATGGGGCGCCAAGCTGTGCCTCCCCCCTCCTCCCCCCCTTTGGTGGCAGCGGGGGTGGGGGGAAGAGGTGGTGGTGGCAGCAGCAAAAGTGTGGCTGGCTCCAGAGGTCTCCAGGTCTCCAGGCTCCACCGGGAGGTTGGCATCTGCGCCCAGTGGAGCTGCAAGGCCGGCGGCGGCCAGGACCGCTGGGGGCAGGGTGTGTGGCCTTATGACACACTTCCGGTGATGTCAGGGTGTGTGGCATATGCTAATGAGTTCCCCTAGCTCTTTTTCTACGAAACGACCCCTGTATACGAGGCAAAGTGGATTAACCCTATAATGACTGAACTAGATCTTGCAACACACACATATTTCCAGCACAAACCACCTCTGCTTGTCTCCTGCCTGGAATGACCCATAGATGGGGTTGCCCTGAGTTGGCTGCAACTCAACAGCACATTCTTCTTCTGGTATAAGGCCTACCCAGAAAGGGAAGAAATCTTTCCTTTGCTTTCTCTGGTGGTTAGTAATTTCTGAAAGTGTCAACAGCGAGGAGAGTTACGCCGTAGATGTGGGCAAAGAGTAGGGTTGCCAAGTCACTCACGTTGTGTGGCGGGGGAGTCCTCGTCCCCTTTTGGGACATTTGGGCATGCGTAGCGCTCGCGCGCGCTGCTGTGATGCCACCCGGAAGTGACATCATCATGTGGGGGGCGTCACCGGGCGACGCTCTACCAGTTGCCCCAAAAACTCTATGGTACCATAGAGATTTTGCGGTGACTGCTAGAGCGTTGCCCGGTGCCGCCCCCGGTGTACTGACGTCACGTCCGGGTGGTGTCATCACCAATGTTCCCTCTAAGCTGTGGAGTCTTGTGAGCAAAAATTCTACTTCGTGAGCCACTGGCATTAAAGTTGTGAGCGACCAATTTGGCTGCTGCATAAGTTAGTTTGCTCTGGTGCCATCCTTCCTGAGCGGAGACAAAAATGTGTGAGCCGGAGGCTAAAAAACTGTGAGTTAGCTCACACTAACTCAGCTGAGAGGGAACACTGGTCATCACGCTGGGGGCGTGGGCCTCATCCAGCCGTTTCAGGGGTGGGGTTCCCCCGGCGGCCCGATCCCCCATCTGACATTCTCACCCAGGGTTGGAGACCCCCCCCATCTGAATTCAATTGATTCTGACCTTCTCTCTTCCCCTTCCCCAGAAGCCACTGGGGCAGTACCACGAAGACCACTTCACCGAGGAGGAGCCGAAGCAACTCATCAAGGCTTTCCAGCGGCGCCTGGAGCACATTACGGAGGAGATCACGAAGAGGAACGAGTCGCTGACGTTGCCCTACACCTACCTGTACCCACCCAACATAGAGAACAGCACAGCCATCTAACGCCTGGCAGCTGCGACACGGGGCCACGTTTCCAGGCCACGGCCAAACGTGCCCGGAAACGTCTCGCCCTGCCTCTTTCCTTCCGAGATGGAGAAATCAGAGAGTCCGTCCCCTCCTCCCAAATTCTCTTGGGAACGTCACTCCGAAAAAGCAGAACAAAACGGATCCTGCCGCACGGTGCCCAACGCTCCCTCTAAGCTGTGGAGTCTTCTGAGCAAAAAATCCTACTTGGTGAGCGACTGGCAATAAAGCCGCGAGCGAGCGATGGGGCCGCTGCATCAATGAGTCTGCTCTGGAGCCCTCCTTCCTCAGCGAAGACAAAAATGGGCGAGCCGGAGGCTCAAAAACTGTGAGCTGGCTCACACTCACTCAGCTTAGAGGGAATGTGATGGTGACGCCCATTACCACTCGCGACCGGGAGATTTGCTCTCGATATTTAAAACCACCCACCAAGCTGAAGATGGGGCCGCCACACTTCCTGGGCGATAACCCCTCATTTCCTGCTCCTTCCGCCCGTTCCTTCTCCCAGGTGCTATAAGGGAAGGTGGCAACAGAGAGGTGGGAGAAGGAACAGTCGCAGATCTCTGGGTGGCGGGAGGGCTCTTTTTGTAGCAGGGACTCGTTTGCATATTAAGCGACACACCCCCTAATGTAGCCAATCCTCCGAGAGCTTACAGTAGCCCCTGTAAGAAGAGCTCTGTAAGCTCTTGGAGGATTGGCTACATTAGGGTGTGTGTGGCCTAATATGCAAAGGAGTCCCTGCTACAAAAAGAACCCAAGGCTCCCTCTAAGCTGTGGGGACTTGTGAGCAAAAATTCTACTTTGTAAGCTACTGGCATGAAAGTTGTGAGCGAGCCGTTTGGCTCCTGCATGGATTCGTTCGCTCTGGAGCCATCCCTTCCTGAGCGAGGACAAAAACCTGTGAGCTGGAGGCTAAAAACCTGTGAGCTAGCACACACTGACTCAGCTTAGAGGGAACACTGGTGGCAACCTGGTAACACTGTTGTGAAGTCCTAGGGCTACAGTTGACAACCTCCAGGTGGGGCCACACTCGTTATACCGCACTGAGGTCTTTTCCCTCCCCCAAACCCCACGTTCCCCGGCAATGTTCCCTCTAAGCTATGGAGTCCTGTGAGCAAAAATCCTACTTTGTGAGCTCCTGGCATGAAAGTTGTGAGCAGGTGATTTGGCTACGGCATCAATTTTTTTGCTCTGGAGCCCCATCCTCCCTGAGCGAAGACAAAAATGTGTGAGCCGGAGGCTAAAAGACTGTGAGCTAGCTCACACCAACTCAGCTTAGAGCAGTGGTGGTGAACCTACGGCACGGGTGCCAGAGGTGGCACTCAGAGCCCTCTCTGTGGGTACGCGTGCCATTGCCCCAGCCAGGCCCAGACCATCATTAAAGTGTCAAATTCTCTGCCAAATAATTTTAAGTCAATGAAAGCATTTGGGATTGCTTTCCTTACTTTGTTTGGATCATCTTAAGTTAATGTATGAGTTGTTTTTTCGCAAGTAAAACCTCAGTATTCAGGTTAAATGGCCGTGTTGGCACTTTGTGATAAATAAGTGGGTTTTGGATTGCAGTTTGGGCACGCGGTCTCTAAAAGGTTCGCCATCACTGGTTCAGAGGGAACACCGTTCCCCAGGCTCCCCCCCCAAATCTCCAGGAGTTTCCCAACCTGTAGTTGGCAACCCTACATATTGCAGAATGGAGGTTTGGGGGGGTGGACGGGGGAGCGGTAGACGAATAGATGGGAAGAGCAGATATTGGGGGGGAAAACCTGTTTTATGCAATGTGGAGTTGAAACGATTCCGTCCAAATGGCTTTTTCACACAAGGGGATTTGCAAAATAAAAACTGGATTTCAAAACCACGTTTTGATTGACGTCTGCCGACTTTGCTTTGCGTCCAGGGAGAGTTAAGCGTGTGCAGCATGTGCGCTGGATCAGAGCCCTTTCCCCTTCTGGTTTAAGAAGCAGATGGTGCCCTTAATGTCTCACGATGAGTAGCTGTTTCTACCATCAGGTGGCTCCTGGTTCCTTGTTCACCATCTGGCATATACAGACTTCCACAGTGTGCATTTGTAATTTAAGGAAATGCCCCCTAAGAATACACAGATTCACACACACTCACACACACACACGCAGATTAAATTTGTACAGTCTGGCAGTCAATGCCTTTGGATGTTTTTGCCAGACCCAGGATTTGATGCTCAGACAGCCTGTTGGGGCTTTCTCGGTTTTCCTGACAGTAAAATGGAGACAGTAACCCATCCCTTGTTAGAACAGAGTATGAGTCCAGTGGCGCCCTTAAGACCAACCAAGTGTGAGTTTTTCCCGTGCACGCACACTTCCTCAGATACACTGAAGTGGACGTTAACAGCCCATACGTTTAGGCAGACGGTGAACAGCAAATTAGCATACAACACAATGAAGATGTTTTAACAGATGCAGAGACCAAACAGGAATAACAAGCTAAGTTTATACAGTCACCATTCATTTGGATTTAATTACAGGGGGGGAAACACAGTGGAGCAAATAAATACGTCAAAATAGGAGACTAATGTGTAAATGTATCCTTGATTGTGGGGTGCTAAGAGTAAATAACTGAGCATTCCACATTTAAGTGTGTAACATTTGCTACTCTCCAGCCTTGTGGTGCAGCAGCAGAATTTAGTGAAAGTTTACATATATGGGTTAGTAGATCAACCATCTCACTCACACCTGAGATCCTTAAGAACTCTCGGATGTATGCCTTCAGGACCTGGAGACATTGGTTTTTAATTTCCCCCATAGGTCTAGAAATTCATCTCTGCTCACTTCGGTTTGGCTCATAAGAACATAAGAAGCCAATGTTGGATCAGGCCAATGGCCCATCCAGTCCAACACTCTGTCACACAGGGGCAAAAATACCAGGGGCCATCAGGAGGTCCAGCAGTGGGGCCAGGACACTAGAAGCCCTCCCACCATTGCCCCCTCAAGCACCAAGAAGACAGAGCAGGGCTATTTTTGGGCAGGAACGCACAGGAACGGAGTTCCGGCTGGCTCCCAAGTTGGCCACGCCCAGCAGGAACTCATTAGCATAATAGGCCACACCCAACAGCAGAAACTCATTCAGATTGGCTACAATTAGGGGTGTGTGGCCTAACATGCAAAAAGCTCTGGGTTTTGACAACAAACAAGGTAAAGAGAATAAGAAGCAAAAGGTGGGTGTGGCTAGATGACCACACTTCTGGTAACATGGGGGTGTGGCCTAATATGTGAATGAGCTGTGCTGTCAGGGGTGTGGCCTAATATGCTAATGAGTTCCTGCTGTTGGGTATGGCCTATTATGCTAATGAGTTCCTGCTGGGCTTTTTCTACAAAAAAGAGCATCCCTTGCCCCAGACCGAGAGTTCATATAAGAACATAAGAGAAGCCAATGTTTGATCCGGCCAAAGGCCCATCCAGTCCAACACTCTGTCAACACAGTGGCCAAAAATACCAGGGGCCATCAGGAGGTCCAGCAGTGGGGCCAGGACACCAGAAGCCCTCCCTCTGTTGCTCCCCCCCAAACACCAAGAATACGGAGCATCCCTGGCCCCAAACCGAGAGTTCCTATCTATACCTTGTGGCTAAGAGCCACTGATGGACCTCTGCTCCATATGCTTATCTAATTCCCTCTTGAAGCTGTTCCACCTGGAGGTTGGCAACTCCAAATAGGTGACAATACTGCACACCAGGAATGAATTCAAGGCTCCATCTTTGCCAGGGTGAGAAACCTGTTCTGAGAGCCGGAGAACCCTCGGAGTTTGCCAGACTGTCAAAAGGAAACCAGCTTGGCCTGTTCTATATTTCTCACAGGCCGGTTGCCAGAACCTCAGGGAGCAAGATCACCTTTGCCTTCTGTTTAACGGCACCCTCCAGATAAAGAGACCTCTTTTGTGCCGGGGACGCTCCCCAAACCTGCCCCCAAACCTCTAGACTTTGCCCCTGGCACCACCCCGCACCTGCTCCAGGCTCCGCTCACAGGCCTCGCCCCAGAAGTGAGAGATCTCTTGACTGCTGTGGGGAAAATACGAGGAGGAGGAGAAGAAGGGATTGGATTTATACCCCGCCCTTCAGTACCCGAAGGAGTCTCAGTGCGGCTCACAATCCTCTTTCCATTCCCTTCCCCACAACAGACACCTTGTGAGCAATGCTCCCTCTAAGCTGTGGAGTCTAGTGAGCAAAAATTCTACTTTGTGAGCTACTGGCATTAAAGTAGTGAGTGAGCGATTTGGCTACTGCATAAATTAGTTTGCTCGGGTGCCATCCTTTCTAAGCTCAGACAAAAATGTGTGAGCTGGAGCCTAAAAAACTGTGAGCTAGCTCACGCTAACTCAGCTTAGAGGGAACACTGCCTGTGAGGTAGGTGGGGCTGAGAGAGCTCTTTTGAAAACTACTCATGAGAGAACAGCTCTGAGAGAGCCTTGCGCTCTGCTGAGTAACATCTACTAGTGGTCCCTGGCCTGACAGATATCCGTTCAGCCTCGACCAGGCCCAGGGCTTTTTCTGCCCTGGCCACGGCCTGGTGGAATTTGCTCCCATGTGAGATCAGGGCCCTGCGGGACCCGTTCCAGTTCCACAGGGCCTCTAAGACAAGTCTGTTCCACCCAGGCTTTCCGTGGAGGCGGCAGACATTTCAGTCCCCTGCCCACAGAGTTGCCCATAGTACTGTTTTGAGTTGGTCTGATCCTCCTGCAGAAAGTTTTAAACAGACTGCCCTGAATTATTATTTTTTTAAACCTGGGTTTGCCGTCCTGCTTACTGTTCATTATACGTTTGCTTGGATGTTTTCAATTTTTAAAAATTTGCTTATTATATTTATTGTTATCGAATTATGTTGTGAGCTGCCCTGGGCACATTTTGGGATACGGCGGGATAGAAACCCGACAAAATAAATAAATAAACACACCAAACTGAAAAAGAAAGACCAGGAGCAAGAGATGTTACGAGTCTACGGGACTGTGGCTGTTGGTTAATGAGTGAAGGGAAGCAACAAGATTTTTTGGGTAGAGTTTCCAGCTCTGGGTTGGGAACCACCTGGATATTTTGAGGGGTGGAAGAAGAAGGATTGGATTTATTCCCTGCTCTTCACTACCCAAAGGAGTCTCAGAGAGGCTTACGATCTCCTTTCCCTTCCCCTCCCTACAACAGACACCCTGGGAGGTAGGTGGGGCCGAGAGAGCTCTCTCAAGGACTGCCCTTGAGAGAACAGCTCTGAGGGAACTTGTGACCAAGGCTCCCTCTAAGCTGTGGAGTCCTGTGAGCAAAAATTCTACTTCGTGAGCCACTGGCATTAAAGTTGTGAGCGAGCGATTTGGCTGCTGCATGAATTAGTTTGCTCTGGAGCCCTCCTTCCTGAGCTAAGACAAAAATCTGTGAGCCGGAGGCTAAAAAACCGTGAGCTAGCTCACACTAACTCAGCTTAGAGGGAACACTGCTTGTGACTGATCCAAGGTCACACCAGCAGCTGCATGTGGAGGCATGGGGAATCAAACCCAGTTCCCCCAGATTAGAGTCCATGTACTTAATTAGAGTCCACTTGAGCTGCGGTGGCTCAAGTGGTTAAGACGCTGAACTGCAGGCTGTGGAAGGTCAGTAGTTCAGCAGTTCAAGA